AATCACTCACAAAAAGATTTGTTAGTTTTACCAAGCTTTTGAAAAACTTAAGTTTTGGCTTTGACTATTTCATCAATTTCTGCACTTGTCTTTATTTTATCTTTCCCTCCACTTACTTTGGGTTTAATTTGTTCATTCCAATTTGAAATAAATGTTTAGCATATTTACTTTTTATCCTTACTATCTACTACATGCATTTAATGATATATATTTCCATCTAATCATGGTTTTAGAATATATTTCGAAGATAGTTATTTTCACTATCATTCAAATAAAAATATTTTCTAAAAGCTATTGGGATTTCTCCTTTTACGCTTTACTTTTAACTGCTTATTTTAAGATAACTTCAAAGTTAAATTTGCAATAGTAGAGATCTCACATATACCTTTACACAGCTTAGTTTTTCAAATATTGCCTCCTTGTAGTCCTTTAACAATAATAATTAGTATGCATTTCCTTACAAGGACATTCTATTATTTAACCATAGTATAATTATTAAATACAGGAAAATTTACACTGAGATAATACTTTCATCTGATCTATAGACCACATTCCAATTGTTATTTGTCTCAATAACGTCCTCCATATCATTTTTTTCTCCCTCTCGTCCAGGATGCCAGAGGATCATGTGCTACGTTAGTTTTCATATGAATTGCATGTCTTCATTTTCAAATATATGGAGAGTGTTATCATCTATTATTGTTTTCCAGATTAACTGCATTGAGTTTACATAAAACTTTATACAATTTAATCTTCTGAAATTGAAGACTGCTCTGGCATATGGTTAAATTTTTTTATTTTTATATTTTTTTATTTTGAAAAGAATGTCTATTTTGGGGCATAGTGTTTCTTAATACCTATGAGGTCATTTGCTAATTGTATTATTTTAATCTTACTGATTTTTAATGTGCTTTTTCTGTCAATTATTGAGAAATATGTTAAAAATTTCCCACTCTGTTTTAAGCTGTCATTTTTCTTTATATATTTCAAGGCCATGGGGCACACATTTACAACTGTTACAACTTTTAGATAAATAAAACCAATTATTGTTATAAAGTTTCCTTCTTTATCTCAAATAATGTACTTTGGTATGCCAGCCTGCCTTTGGTTAGTGTTTGTATGATATGTCTTTTCCTGTCATTATTTTTATATACATAGATTTTTAATATCTCTTTAAAAAAGCAAACAGACTTTCTATTTTTTCTTAACCAGCATGAAAATTTTAAATTTAGAACATTTTATTCATTTACATTTATTATAATTACAAAGTATTTATAGCTCTTTTAATTTATCAAGTCCTTATTAAAATCTGTTCTTTGATACTATGAGCAACTAGATGTCAACAAATTGGACAATATGAAAGAAACAGACACATTCCTAGAAACATATAATCTTCCAAGACTGAGTAAAGAAACAAAACCTGAACTGAGTGACTACTACTAATGAAATCAAATCAGTAATCAAAAAACTCCCATCAAACAAAAATCATCCTGGACCAGATAGCTTCACAGGTGAATTTTACCAAACAGTCAAAGAAAAATTAAATTAATACCTATTCTTCTCAAACTATTTCAAAAAATTCAAGAGCAGTGAAATGAAGGCTCCCAAGGTCATTCTACAAGATCACCAAAGCCATTACCAAAAAAGAAAATTATAGGCAAATATCCCTGATGAACAGAGATGCAAAAATCCTCAAAAAAAATATTAGCAAACCAAACTCAGCAATACATTAAAAAGATCATACACCATGATCAAGTTGGATTTATTCCCAGGACAAAGATGGCTCAATATCCGCGAATCAATGCGATACACCACATTAACAAAGTAAAAGATAAAAATCATATAATCATATCAATAGATGCAGAAAAGGTGTTTCACAAAATCCAGTATCCATTTATGATAAAAATTCTCGGCAAAGTGGGAATAGGGGGACCTTCTCTCACCATAATAAAGGTCATATATGACAAACCTACAGCTAACATCACACTTAATGGAAAAAGCTAAAAGCACTTCCTTAAGATCAGGAACAAGACAAGGATGCCCACTTTCACCACCTTTATTCAAAATAGTACTGGAAGTCCTAGCCATAGCAATCAGATGAGAAAAAGAAATAAAAGGCACCCAAATTAGAAAGAAGGAAAACTCATTACGTGCAGATGACATGATACTATACAGAGAACTCTAAAGATTCCACAAAAAAACTGTTAGCACTGATAAATGAATTCAGTAAAGTAGCAGGATACAAAATTAATATTCTGAAATCAGTTGCATTTCTATACATCAATTATGAACTATCAGAAAGAGAAATTAAGAAAATAATCCCATTTACAGTTACATAAAAAAAATATATCTAGGAATAAATTTAACCAAGGAGGTAAAAGACCTCTACTCAGATAATTATAAGTCACTGAAGAAAGAAAAGGAAGGAAATACAAATAAATGGAAACATAAAGGAAGAATTAACAGTTAAAATGTCCATACTACCCAAAGCAATCTATAAATTCAGTGCAATCCCTATGAAAATACCAACGGCATTATTCACAGAACCAGAACAAACAATTCTAAAGTTTACATGGAACCATAAAAGACCCCAAAAATACACGGCAGTCTTGAGAAAAAAGAACGAAGTTGGAAGTAACAGCCTACCTGATATCAAACTATACTACAAGGCTATAGTACTCAAAACAGCATGGTTCTGGCAATAAAACAGACACTCAGTTCAATGCAACAGAACAGAGAGCCCAGAAATAAACCCACGGCTATATGGTCACTTAATCTATGACAAAGAAGGCAAGAATATACAATGGGGTAAAGACAGTCCATTCAATAAATGGTGTTGGGAAAACTGGACCGATACATGCAAAAAAAATGAAACTGGACCACTCTTGTTTTTTACCCATATTCAAGAATAAACTCAAACTGGATTAAAGACTTAAATGTAAGAACCAAACCATAAAACTTCTAGAAGAAAATATGGGAAGTAAACATTTAACATTGCTCTTAGTAATATTTCTTTGGATATATCTCCTTGGGCAAGGGAAACAGAAGAAAAAAATAAACAAATGGGACTACTTAAAAATAAACAAACTGGAAAGTTTTTATATATCAAAGGAAACCAACAAAACAAAAAGACAACTACTGAATGGGAGAAGATATTGCCAGTGATACATCTGATAAGGGATTAATATCCAAAATATGTAAGGAACTCATAAAACAAAACAAACAATCCGAATAAAAAAAATGGGTAGAGGACCTGAATAGACATTTCTCCACAGAGGACATACCAATGGCCAACAGACATATGAAGAGATGCTCAGGTTCTCTCATCATTAGAGAAACGCATATTGAAACTACAATGAGAAATCACCTCACACCTGTCAGAACAGCTATCACCAATAATTCAAAAACCAACAAGCGTTGGCAAAGAAGTGGAGAAAAGGGAACCCTTGTGCACTGTTGATGAGATCGTAAACTGGTACAGCCACTATAGCAAAGTCAAAGTTCCTTAAAAAATTAAAACCAGAACTACCTTATGACCCAGCAATTCCACTTCTGGGTATTTATCTGAAGAAATCTAAAACACTAATTCAAAAAGATATATGCACCCCTATGTTCACCGCAGCACTATTTACAATAGCAGAGATACGGAAGCAACCTAAGTGCCCATCAATAGACAACTGGATAACGAAGTTATGGGACATACATACAATGGAATGTTACTCAGCAATAAAAAATGAAATTTTAATATTTGCAACAACATAGATGGACCTAGAGGGTCTTATGGTAAAATGAAGTAAGTCCAACAGAAAAAGACAATACCATATGATTTCACTTACATGTGGAATCCAAGGAACAAAATAATGAACAAATAAAACAAAAATAGACTCGGATATAGAGAACAAACTCGTGGTTGCAAGATGGGAGGGCAGATTGGGGAGCTGGGTGAAAATGGTTAAGGATTTAAGAAGTACGAATTGGCAGTTACAAAATAGTCACAGGGATGTAAAGTACAGCATAGGGACTATAGTCAATAATGTTGTATTAACTATGTATAGTGCCAGGTGGGTACTAGACTTATCGGAGGAATCACTTCATAAATTATGTCTCTAACTAGTATGCCATATACCTGAAATATAAAATATTGAATGTCAACCAATAATTGAAAAATAAAATTTTTTTAAGAGTAAGAAAAATTTTATTTTAATGTTTCTTTTTTTTTATTGGCCTGTTTTTAGACTAATTATTCTATTTCCCCTCACCATCTTGATAATCATATACACTTTTACTATTCTTTTAGCTACTATTACATACAGAGATATTACAAAATGCAGATCTTGACTTAACCTCTAATATTTTGTATTTTTACCCTTTTCCTAAATTACACATAAGCCTTAGACCATAAACTCTACATCCTAACATGTCTGCTGTGATACACAACACACACGACACAGACCGACATCTTTGTTGCTTTGGAAGTCAACATTTAGATTTACTCATACTTTAACTGCTCTTACTCCATCATGCATCATCTACCATTTTTCTTCTGAATTGGAAAAAGCATGTTTCATTCTAAAGAGCACTAAAGTCAATTCCAGCCAAATGCTGATATGAAAGTATATGAGGCCAAGGGCTCCAAGAGCTTCCATTTTCTCAAAATACCAAAGATGTGGTGTTTTTGTTGTTGTTGGTTTGTTTGTTTTAGCGTAAAATCTTATTTTACAACACTGGTAACTAATTCCACATATTTTAAAACAATGAATAGGCCAGTGGTTCTTATTCCAGGGTAATTTTGCTTCTTAAGGCATTTGGTCATGTCTGGGGACATTTTTGGTTTTGACAACTGGGAGGATGCTACTGGAATCTAGTGAACAGAGGTCAAAGATGCAGCTAAACACCATACAAATGCACTGGGCAGCCCCCCATAACGAAGAATTATCTGGCCCAAAATGTCAATACTGCCAAAGTTGAAAAGTTCCTGAATAAGCAAGGTAACGTGGTGCTGGCAAACAAAACATTATCTGCAGACTGCCATTTGACTAGGTGCCAGCAGTCCTCTAAGTCTTCATAAAGCTGTAATATAAATCTACGTATATAATGAAAGATGCTGGTACCTATGCTCTTTATGTTCTAATAACTGGCAGTCCCGACAAGTCAGTTTGTCACATGTTTCACAGTAAAGCTTTAGCTGCTCCTTCTTATGAAAAGGACAAAACACGGGTCGCTGACTGGTCACACCAACTGCCTCTGTAGAAACAATGGGAGGCAAAAAAAAATTAACATAATTGAATAGTAAATATTAGATTGACTATTCAAACTCAAATCCAGGAAAATACAAACACTTTCATCAACATCACTATCACCAGGTTTTACAGATATTAAACATTAAATATTTTCAGCACTTCAGAATGAAAATATAAATGAGCTTTTTCACCTTCCAATGTATAAATTCAAATTAATTTAGGAGAAAAAGAAAATGTGTAGTTAAAAAAATGGTTTATGGAATTAAAAAATCTTAATAGCCCAGATAAATGCGTGTGAACCAATTAGATGTTTTCCATTCCAAACATGGAAGAAATTTTTAAAAATGCAATTCAGAAAAACTAATAAAAATGTATACAAGGTCTGGTAAAAAAATTACTTCCCCACTCTTGCAAAAACCCTAACAGATGATACCCATCAACACAGAAATAATCATTAAGTTTTCACTATCATATTATAGTCATCCATGTATCTTTTCAATGGGGATTAAATATCCAAAACAGGGATAAAACTGGGCGATGCTTATGTTAAACAGAAAAATCAGAATACAAATAAACACAATGATTGGTTAAACAGTAAACACTAGTTATCTCACTGATAATTAAAGGTAATATTGAAACATTTCAAAATTAATCCACCTCCAAAGATAACCACTATTAAAACCTGGTATACATTCCTCTGGTTGTTTTTCTATGTAAGTAAGTATGTATACTAGTAAATATTTTATAAAATTTAAGTAATTTATAAAATTTAAAGAATGGCACTACACATACTTCCTTGTAAAAGTGTTTTTATTCACTTTATCTTAGATACCGTTCTTTCTGTGTTAGTAAATACATCTGTATCTACTTATTTATTAACAATATAGTATCTCGTCAAATAAATATTACCACCTGCCAGTGGACATTAGAATGTTTCTCATTTTTCAATATTGTATGGTAATGCTGAAATAAACATGAAATGTATAAACCATTGGATGTTTCCATAATACAAATACCTAAGTAGAATTCTTGGGTCAATAAATGGTCTCCAAAGAATTATACCAATTTGTATTCCTACCAGTGTAGAGTGGCTATCACCTTACTAATGGGGTATTCTCAATATTGTTAATCTTTGCCAATTTGATAAGTGGGGGGAAGTGATATCACAATTTTTGAATGTATTTCTTTAACAACTGAGGTTGAACAATTTTACACTTTTATCAACCACTTACATTTCTTTTAAGAATTGTCTATTTATAACCTCCATCGTTTTTCTGTCCAATTATCCTTCTTATCAACTTGCAAACATTTAATGAATTGCCTGCCAAAACTCTGATTTTTGGTATTTTTCCAAGCACACCATTAGAATTTTTAATAGAAAAATTTATCCGTTCTATGACTTTAGTTTTTGAGAAAATTGTTTCTAAAAAGGCTTTCCTTTAATTATAAAAATGTTTACTTTCGCTCATATAGTAACCTTTTATGGTTTTTTATATAAATGAACTTATCTGAATTTTCATATATTACCCATATTTAAGAAATATTTAAATGTGTGCCAGCAAGCAGAATGAGTTAACAGACTGACATTTGCTGATCATACTATAATAAAACTATAAAGTTGAAACCAGAAACAAACAAAACCCATGCCTGGGAAAATTTTCCTTTTTCTTTTAATGAATTCGTGGGTTCATAATAATCACACTGTTTAGCAACTTCCTTTTTTACATTTAATATACATCATGACCCTCTTTTCATAGCATTACTTATAATATTCCAAAGTAGAAAATAACAGATACAAAAATTCATAAATCCCCAACAACTTGGCAACCATAAATGCAGAATATCTAAAAAAACAGCAGAAATCAAAGTAGCAAATCATAAATCAAGCTTTAAACACTTATAATTTTAAGAAAAGTGGAAATAAATATCAAGTGTTTATCTCAAAGACGTTAGTAATAGAAATTTAAAACCAAGGTAAACTGACAGGGATTAAAGATAAATTAGTGAACTAAAAAATATATAACATAATTAGATAAATTTAAAAGTTGTTTCTGTGGATAAAAACAGAGAGATAACCTATTACCTAGTTAGATTAAAAAGGTAAAAATACATAAAATTGAGAATGAAAAAAATGGAAATAACCAGATAGAGCAAATTACCAATATATTAAAAGAAAATTAAAAGCACAACACATTAATACCAAATGGAATTAATTCCAGCAATTAATGAAACATCTATGGAGACATCTGGTCAATGCCATAAGGTCCATGATAATTGGTCCTTGACATGTGCCATTATGAATCAGGCTAAGGCAAGAAGGGTTATTACTGGCAATCAGCCACAAAAGAACTATTGGACCAGTAAAACATGATGTTTTTATGTATTAATCCTGTAAACCAAAAGTATAAATAAATGTTATGGGCCATGAAGCCAGGAACATTTCCTAAGCGTGGATGTTTCTGACAAGACCAAATGTCATTTAGTATGAACCAAACATGCTCCTGGACATTTTAGACAGGACCAAATTTCAAGGATCTTTCGGTGTGGATCAAATGTCTCAGTCAATGTGTGGACAGGACCAAAAGTCCTGCAAGGACTCCAGCAATGCAAAGATGGTTCAATGTTAGTAATATGAACATCCTCATAGCTCCTTGTGCCCTTTTCCTTGATGTTCAATTCATGTCTTCTGGGCATCATAGTTGATAGGGTGACCATTAGTTGGCTTGGGACATCCTGGTTTGTTCCTGCTATACAGGCATAACTATTTATAAAAGCTTTTGATTTAGATAATTAGGATATCATATCACTTATTTATAGACTTTATTTATCGAAGAATTTAGATCCTGACTCTCAGTCATTCTCCTAGTAGTAAGTCTCATCATCATCCTGAATGATTTAGAAGTCCACGGAGATTACCACATGAAGACAAGCCTCTCAAACTTGCTTATCTTTAGAGACCTGTTCTTCATTGTAGCTGCTTATTCCATATAATATACATCATGGTCCCACCCCAGATTTTTGATTATAACTATTCCACTCTACAATCATGAATTCAAACATCCCACTCTAATAACTTCTACTTTCTAAACTTCCAATTCTTGCTTAACCACTCTCACTGTATTTCATCAATATCTCTAATCCTTAACTATTTCTTTCACCCTATCAACTGACACTATCAACTTTATACAGTTAAAATCCCTAAATCCTTCATTTTGATACATGACATTACCTGCATCTCTTGCCCTGCTGAATTTCTGGAACACGTGTCCAGCTAAACCCCAAATCTAGATAAGTTCAATTCTTCTCTATATCTATACCCAGGGTGCTGAGGTCTGGCAGGGGATGTTTTAAGTCCTACACATCAAATATAACCTTGATGTTACCTAGCAACCGTTCTGTTCCTGAAGCTGGAGTTTTCTTTCAACTGGAGTTATTTCAAATATCCTCCACATTCCTTACCTTTTATTATTTCCCTGCTCTCTTTTTCAACAGATGATTGATCTCAAAGAAGTCTTGATAGCACTAACCTATTAAATTTACCTGAATCTACACCTGGCCTTTTTTCTCTTGTGTCTTTTCATCGGCATCCTCAGAAATTATACTCCCTTTTCCTTTGTCTCCAGACTCCTAGCCTCATTTCTGACTACTCCTCCTTTTGAATCTTACTCTCCAGCTACACTCAACTTTCCCTCTCTGGAAATGTGTGCATGTGCTTCGGTTTTCCCTACCCTTCTCCTTTATGGAATGAATTATTTATCCTTGAAGTCCCAGATTTGGCCTCCAACCTAAATCCCAAATCTGAGTTTAGTACTCTTTTCATGTGCTCCCACAGAATTTATGAGGCCCAATATATTTGCTAATTTGTTTATAGTCTTCATGATACTAATAACTCCTAAGGATACAAGTGTCTGTCTTACTTACCTTTTCATCTCTAGTACCTAGCAAAGTTCCTGGAATATAGAATAGGTATACAAACACTAGTTGACTCAATGAATAAAAAGTAAAATAATTTTTAAACAAAAATATATTGATGAGCCATAAAGCTGAATAAATTCTGATAAATGCTATAGTATGAATGAATCCTGAAAATACTGTGATAAGCGAAATGAGTCAGACAACTAAAGGACAAATACTGTATGATTCCACTTGACTGGAATATCTAGAATAAGCAAATTCATAGACAAATAGATTAGAGGTTAGCAGGAGCTGGGGGAAGAGAGGAATGGGCAGTTATTACATAACGGGTAGTTTCCTTTTGGGGTGACAGAAAAGTTTTAGACAGTGGTGATGGTTGCATAAGACTGTGAAAGCAATCAACGCCACTGAATTGTACATTTCTAAGATGATAAGTTTAAAAAGCAAGTATTTTTTCATGTGCTGTACATTCACACCAAATTAAGGCATTTATAGGAAAAGGGGTTGGGAGTATGCCTATGAGGCAAAAAGGCTCAATATCTATTCATTCTTGCCAATATGTATAAGTATTCAAATTTCGATACAATATAGATCACACTGATTTTAAAAATCAAGAGAATATTTAATGTTTACAAGTGTATTAAAACATGTCAATGTAGAGAGGAAGAAAAGATGGTGGAAGGATAGAGGGGGGAAAAAAGAGACTAGAAGAACTAATCCATTACCTGGAGATACTTCTTCTTTCTGTCTCACAGTGTGGTCTTTTGTGAACTTCACCCTTTGATGAGCTCTGATGCATGTCTTGCAGAGCCATTCAACACACTCTACACAAAACCCATTAGCTTCAGCATTATCCTCACAGCTTGTACACACCTAAAAGAAACATGTCACATCAATTTTTGAAAAAAAACTAAAAGATGGTCATACCACTAGTCATACGAAAATGATATACCAGCCATACTGATTCCATCGTTTACCTTAACAGTGCTCATAAATTAAAACTGATACTATGTTTTAAATCATAAACACATATAAGTGGAAATATAAGGACACTGGCTTTAGTTCAACAAAGCAAATATTTCAGGCATTATGTTAAGTGTTGAAGATACATCAATCGGAAAAGCAAACATGATCTTTGCTCTTGTGATGCCTAAACTCGTAGATGGAATATGGGTTCAAATCCCACTTCCTCCACTTACTAGCTGAGTAGCCTTGGGTAGGTTACTTAGAATGCATAAGAGCAATGACACGAATTTTACTGAATAGTTGTAAAGATTAAATGTGAGGCAGACAAACATTATTGGAATAATCACACTAACAGAAAACTACAAACTGAGATGTGCCATAAAGTAAAAGTATGAGTTGCTGTTAAGAACATATGATTGGAGAAACTGATCTCATTTTAGTGAGGTCGGGGAAAGTGAGAGGAAGAGATTACCTAGGCAAGGTTTTCTCTAAGGAAATCATATTAGCACTAAGATATGAAAGTTGAGTCATCAATTACTGATGAAAAGCCTTTTAGGTAGAGAGAACAGCATGCACAAAAGCTTCCAGCAAGGAGAGCATGGCAAGTTCCAAGAAGTGACAGAAAGCCAGTACAACTGAAGTAGAGAGATCAAGGGGAAGATTGGCAAGAGAAGTTGGTGGCAAGGCAGACAGGAACCAGATCTAGTAGGATCACACGACAATTTGATCTGTCTAAAGAAGTCTCCTAAAAGCTTTTAAGTAAATAAATGACGTGGCCATATTTGCATTTTAAAAATCACAGTCACTGCAATGTGGAGAACAGATTAAAAAGGGGGCAAGTGTTTCTGCACAGAGACAAGTAGGAGACTTTTTCAGTGGTTTAGGTGAGAGTGGGTGGAAGTGCAGATAAATGAGGAAGATTTAGGAAGTAAAATTGACTGGTATGGAGAATGTACTGGATATAAAAGCTTGTGTAACTGTGTAGATGGTGTTCTCTGAGAACGGATATAAAAGTTATACAGCATACATATAAGCAGTCCTATGATATCATTTGTACTTGGGGAAAAAAATTTCCCTCAGTCAGTGGTTTACATTAATCAAATTCCAAATACCTGGACATTTCCATAAACCCAAATCTACCTTTTCTGAGCAATTATTATCTTCAACCTTTCTGACTTCATTTAATGCCGCTCCTACTTCCTAGAAATCATTTGAATTCCTTGAAACCTCCAGATCCTCTTACCTCCCTGAACGCCCCACAGGATCTCACCACCACGCTTTGTTTTGATTCTTAGCTTTCTGTTAGATCTAGGGATTGGTCTCGTCTACTCTCTTAGCTCCTGCTGTCACCTCTATAACGATGTCCCCTAAAACAATCTCCACACTATGCTACAAAAAGGAATGAGGAATCTCTATATGTACTGCTAGGGAGGGATCTCTAGTACTATATAAAGTAAAATTTAAAAAGCAAAGTAGCAAAGCACAGCATGCCACTGCTTAACTAAAATAAGATGGGGATGAGGCAGGATGACTTATTTGCTTATATTTTAAAAATAAAATTACTTACAATTATACATAAAATATCAAAAATGAAAGAATAAACCATTAAAGTAAGTAAATGGTTACTTATAAGGTAAAGGATAAATAAGGTAGATGAGTAGATGAGATGGAGATAGAAAGTCTGAGTTCTCTGAATACACCATGTTATAGATTTTCCTTTAGAACTACACAAATGTTTAATATGTAGTTATACAAAATTAAGTTTAAAAAATTAAGTCCCTAAACATCAAAAGCAAAATAAAACAAATAAACCTGCCTATCAAGTGGGTGGCTTAACCATGCGGAGAATTACTTATTTCAAGTGACTTTAAAACATGATGTGATTGAATCTCTCCAGTGTATACATGTAGTCTTGCTTTCTTTCTCTGTTTTCAGTTTTGACTGAAACAACTCTGTAATTTCTACTTTCAGCACCAACTCTATTCTCTATACTTTTACTCTGCAAGCCATATTTATGCTTCATGAGCTGGTTTCACCTTAGATTCCAACAGGTGGTGCTGGAGGGAGACTGCAATGCCAGAGGAAGAAGGGACTTACTTGATCATCTTAGTTGGCTTCCTATTTGCTAGTGATTTCTGTGAACATCACACCAACCAATGCTGCTTCACCACTACTGCAGTAGTTCCTTACTATAGCAACAGTTAGCTTTGGCTTGCAGTTTTTCCAATACTTGGAGAACCAGGTTTAAGAGCTACCAGTTTTAGAAATACTAATACCACAGAGATCTCAAGGCCAAAGACTCAGACCAGTAGTACCTTCTCTTCAGATGTTTGAACTGACATTCCTTAAGGCCCTTCCTCTAACTTTTAGTAATTCCAACCTTCTGCCTTTGTTCCCAAAGCAATCCTGAGAAAAAACAAAGTTGGAGGTTTCATACTATCTAATTTTAAACTACATCACAAAGCTACAATAATCAAAACAGCATGTACTGACATTAAAAACAAAGAGATCAATGGAACAGAATGGAGAGCCCAGAAATAAACCCACGCCTATATGGTCAATTAATCTATGACAAAGAAAGTAACGATATATAATGGGGTAAAGACACTCTATTCAATAAATGGTGTTGGGAAAACTGTACCAATACATGCAAAAGAATGAAACGGAGCCACTTTCTTATACAAAATGAACTCAAAATGGGTTAAAGACTTAAATGCAAGATCTGAAACCACAGACCTCCTAGAAGAAAACATAGGCGGTCATCTCTTTGACATTGCTCTTAGTAATATTTTTTTGAGTATGTCTCCTCAGGCAAGGGAAACAAAAGAAAAAATGGGACTATATCAAACTAAAATGCTTTTGCACAGTAAAGTAAACCATCATCAAAACAAAAAGACAACGTAGTGAATGGGAGAAGATATCTGTCCATTATGCATCCGATAAGGGGTTAATATCCAAAATACATAAGGAATTCATACAACTTCTCACACACACACACACACACACACACACACACACACACACACACACACACACACACACACACACACACACACACACAACACATA